TATGCTGCATTGAAAAACAAGGAACTCATGAAATATTATACAAAATGGGTGAGCCTGGAGGACATGCTGAGTGAAATATCTCAGTCACAAAAGGATAAAGATTGCATAGGGCCACTGTTGTAAAACGGGACTGCCATCAGGGTTGAGAGAAGACAGAAAAGGAGGGAAAGAATAATGTACATGCCATTGAAACAGATGAGGGAGAGAACTGTTTAAAAGGGACGTATGAATGGGTATTCTCATTACAGAGGTCCAGAGTGAAGGCTGCGCAGTGGACTTGGGGGGAGGGATTGCACAACAATGAAAGAGTTTTTCTTTTTTTCTTTTCAAGGAGAAGAGTGAATTGTGTGGGGGGAGGGAGAAAAGTGCAACAATGAATGACTGGAAACCCTAAGTCTATAAACGCTCATTAAAATTCATTTTAAGAAATAAGAAAAAGTCTTTACAAAAATCTGAATCCCTCCCACCTCTGAGCTGACATGTAGAGTTGTAATTTTTGTCTTCACAACTAACGGAAAATGAATATACTAAAAGTCAACAGTTCTTCTCAGATGGGTAGATAGTGAATCAAAAAGCAAATCTCTACCCCAAAAAGTAGAGATTCAGATACAGGAAATTTCAGGAATAGAAACCACTGCTACAGCCATCAGGTAGCAATATTTAAGAACAATTGATTAATTCAATAGACAGAGTGTGGGGGAGTTCGAGAGAGGCAAATATTTGGAGACGCCAACTCAGGAAGTTTCCTACATACCTGGTTTTGCCCCTAGGGGATCCACCTGGTTCTTACTGTGAAAGCCAAGAAGAAAGAAAAACCTGCTTCTCCCAGGGGGACAGAAGAGTCGTTCTGAGAGAAACCAGGTGCTTTGACTCCCTTTAAGGATGACCTGCCCCCACGGGCAGCTATTGCCTCAGAACCTGCTTGTTGTGGGGAGGCCTTGAGTAGTGCAAACGTGTGGAAGGAAAGCCTGCAGACCTACCTGCAAAAGAAAATCCAACCTTTGAAAACTCCATAGCAGCACACGGAGTAAACACGGATCACTCAACTGATGTAATTGATGTAAGGAGACACCAAGTGCACCCCTCTCTGTCCTTCCCGTTACACAGGAAGGGGTGGAGGGAAAGACAGGAGTCAGAGCCCAGGGCAGAAGTTACTCCAAGGATGAGTGGTACCAGAAAGGACCGTAGAGCCACAGCATTCTCCTCCCTCGACCTCCTCACAGTTGCCACTCCATGACCCGGGAGATCTCACCATCTGTTAAGGTCTTCATCTCGTTCAGCAATTGTATTCTTAATTTTCTCTTGTCTTAGTGAAAACACTAGACTGATGTTTCCTTGGAATTTAAAACAAAGGATTTTTCTTGAAGGAATGGTTACATTTCACGAAATGAGGTTACATGTCATCCTACAAGAAGATGAGGCATATGACCCACTTATTGGAAAACCAAGTTTTCATTTAGCAAAGTAAACAATGGTTAACCATTTCACAGGAAAGAGAAGTTAGTTCAAGGTGAGGGAGGTAAATTTACAAAGACTTGCCAAGTGGCAAACTTCCTCCATATAGTTTTTTGCCCTGTAATTCACTCTTTACCTTCTGATAGAGTGTGACTAAGGCAGCATTTCTAAGACATACTGAGGAAACGTTCTGTGTAGGAGCTTGTGGCAGCTCGAGCTGAAATCCTTGGACAGTGAAAACAGACTCATTTGTTTAACAAGTGATGGTTGAATCAACTTTAAGCTGAAGCCTTTGAAAAGTACACGATGCCCATAAGACTAGGGAAAGGGGAGTGAGGATAGCACAGAAAATCAATCTGGTGATTCACTGAGCAGTCAAGATAACAAATTCATTCTCACAAGTTAAAACCTGAAAATCTGGGTGTTATTAACAGTTAAGGCTTTTATAGCTTGAATTTGCCTTTCTACCTAGTTACAAAATACTGAGTCATGGTATTTTCAATTACTTCCTAATGCATGGTTCAAATTTGGGAAGGGCGTACACTAGGGATGTGTCCTATCTCCCTACC